TAACAAACTAAACTATTACACCGAAAGTGTGTAATTTCCGAAATATTAAACAATCAAAACTAAATAAAAACGTAAATAAACATACGGAAATTACAAACGTATCACTAACCCTAGCCTTATCCTCTAACTAGCCGTCGGTGGTGGAAACCCCACCCCGCCGTCAACATACCATTAGATATGTGCAAATCTAGCCACCACACACTTGTTATCGTCGTTGTCATCGCTTGCGATAGAAATCATAGATTGGCGGAGATGATAAACATCTCGCCAGATTCACTGCCGCACCGATCAGTGAGATCGGATGAGAAGAAGAGTAGCAGAAGAAGCATTGGAAATGAGGCAACGACGTACTTCATCGACGTTGTCTGTGGCCTGAGATGGCTGGAATGGCGGTGCCGAGTGTGGGGTTGGTGAAGGATGGCGGTACATGGAAATCTAAGATGGGTTGGTGTGGAACTGGGTCAGAGATGGGTGTGATTAGGCCGGGTTAAGTTTCATTATTTAAATCAAGGGTATGTTGGTCATTTATTTATTTATTTTTCTTTTTTTTTTGCCCGAACAAAAATTGATCACATTTTTGTCAATTCAAAGCAAATAGTGTTACTTTTGCCATTATATCTTTGTTTTTATAATATATATTTTTAATTTAAAAACTTTAAGTATATGCAATTTTATTTCCAAATTATAGTTGGTAGCTGTTTGACTCATTGTTCTTATTTGAAATTGGAGATTATAATTAATAGACTCCAATTTTATATCCAAATCATATCTGAGACTAGACAAAGGAGTTACCTTTATGACCTTATTATGAATTAGTTGTCTTCCTAATTTGAAATGATTCAATGTCATATGTTTATCAGATTGCTCACCTGCACCTAAATATCCATCAATTATTCATATTATATACATCCATCCATCCATCATTTGTTAAAATTACATGCCCATCCAACACGTCCATCATGATCGGGTTAATCAGGTGATTAACAGTTGAACATAGATGATGAAACTTCTAAGAAAAAATAAACAAATTTTAGAGAAAAATCATCACAACTAAAAACAAAATCTAAGATCGAAGTCATTAATTAAATAAAAAAGTCGAGCAATTAAGTATGTCACAATCAATAATTCAGTGCATCATTATCTCATGCACTAGTAGTGTGTATGGCACTGTGAAACAAATTTTAAGTATTTACTTAAAATTGATCACAAATAATAATATGTGAGAATATCAGGTACAATCTCTAAATATGAATCCTCTAATTTTTCACTTGCAATTCGATATGACTATAATTAAAGAATTTAATTTAAAATTAAATCTCTAATCCTTCAAATATCTGAACTGATGGATAGTGTACCCGGGGGTAGCTTATCCGAGGGGTTATTATGAGAATAACCTAGAGAGAAGTCAGAGCAAACAAGTAAGAGAGAGAGAGAGAGAGAGAGTCGATTATATTAATGAACTTGAGATGTTCTGGTCCTTTACAAGAGGAATAGGGGCTGCTATTTATAGCAGCAATAAATGCGATGAGAGTACACATGTCAGTGATCTAACGGCCGAGGGGTCACCTCAATCGGGGGTGGCACCGGCACTCGCATGTGCACCGCATTAAATGCGGTGGTTGGACGTGACACCGCATTAAATGCGGTGGTTGCTTGTCTCCAAAGGGAATCTTCGGTGATTGAGCTGTCAGCCGAAGGCTCCCCCTGTGGCCGAGGGCCCTATGTAGCCGAAGGCTTGGTTCAGTCGAAGGCTCCCCTGATGCCGAGGGCACGAGAATGCTGAAGGCTCTTGATTTCTGCCATTTTCTCTCGGTAGCTTCGCATGCTCAATTCTGGTTGTCCTGTGAATTTTGGAGCCTTCGGCCATGGTGCTGAAGGCCTCCCTAGCGCGCTACGGGCTCCTTTGAGCTTGGGCCGTGGTGCTCTGGGCTTCATGCGCTTCTTGGGCCAGTTGGGCCGGTGCCGGAGTAGTGGGAGTCTGTGGGCCGGGGGTTCCCAGGCCATATACTCCATCACGAACGTTCTTCGAATCTTCGGATCTTCGTTCTTGAGATCTTCGAATCTTCAAATCTTCGAATCTTCGTTCTTGAGATCTTTGAATCGTCATTCTTTGGATCTTCAGATCTTCTTGAAAAAAGAATTCAGATTGAAGGGCCTCCGGTTTTCAAGTGGCTTGATATTCAACAAAAGGGCCGTTTTATGTCTTAATCTTCTGTTTAAGGGCCTCCCGGGATATATGGCTTGATCTTCAATTGAATTTTGATTCAATCTTCATATGAATATCTTCAAATCTTCAAAGATTCGTTCTTCATATCTTCGAATCTTCAAAGTCTTGTTCTTCAGATTTTCGAATCTTCGAGCTTCGTTCTTCAGATCTTTGAACGTTCTTCAACTTTTGAACTTATTTTATCAAGAATAGATGAAATCACAAAGGATTATTCATATATTCTTGAGAAAAATCGTGGCTTGATCTCTTCCTCTTCTTCGGAATCGTTCAGAGCCTCTCGGGAGTTCTTCAGAGCTTTGCTGCAGCGTTTCTTCGTCTGAAAGTTCTCCCCCTTTCCTCTCAACTGAGACCCCTTATTTATAATTGTGGAGGGGGTGAAAATATGGTTTAGGGTTTAGCAAATTCGTCCATATGCATAGGGCCTCAAATAAAATGGGCTTTGAGCTCTATTTGCTTGCATTTAATAGCTAGAAAAATCAGCATTTGTTCAATGTATCTGGACAGCCTTTTTAACAACGTTCGGAGCTATTTCTTACGCATATGGACACAATTCTTAGCTAGATTCATTGTCCTTATTCATAAGTTGAATCGGGGCTCTTATATTTTAGACCACTATTTGATATTGAGCTCTAAATAGAGGATTTAACAAGACCAATCCATTGCTTAAAAACTCAATTAAATTAACTGGATATTTTAAATGATCCAAATTAATTTAATCAATAGATTTATTCTGAGGGGTCCACGTCACTATTTTTTTAAGAAGACCCAAATACCATCACAGTAGCCCAATAGAATCTCATATTGGTCCAATAGCACTTGAAAGAGTCCCAATGATCATCACAAATGGCCCAATAATTTTTAAATGTCCACAGGTACCAATGATATCTTTTAATACGAAATAAATTTAAAAATTGCATGAAAGTAATTTTTGTTACAAGTGTAAACTTTATAAATTTGATATAAACATATTAACTGAAATCATTATCCAAAATATATACTCTCCCGTCCCAGTGGACTTTGCCAAGTGCAAAGTAGGTAAGAAATAAGAATTGTAAAAACTGTGTGATTGATATTTGTGAAGAGGAAAAAGAAATGTACAGAAGCACAAATTAATTGCTTTAATAGCAAAGTGGCAAAGTTTTTTGGGACAACCAAAAAAGGAAAATTGACAAAGTCCAATGGGACGAAGGGAATATATCATTGACTAAAAAATCAATTTGACTAAATGAAATAACCTTCGCAGCACATTTCCTTTTAAGGAAAATAAATGAAATGACATTTAATTGAATTTCTTAACAGTAATGAACGAAACTATAATTACTATAATCATTTAATTCAGTGCATCAAAATGAATGTAACTGTAATTATTATGGCAGAAAAAATGAGGACCAATTCCATGCCAGTACACACGTAGGTGATCACGGACAGCGCAGGCCAGATCAAGTAATGCACGCTCGATCGCTCATTGTTCAATCTTTTTATTTGGAGTAAATTAATAATTAGTAATCCCAAAATGGATTATGTGGATGGATCTATCTCATAACTATCCCGTGCCATATTTCAGGCATGCAAACCGAAACCAACTCATAAAATGCACTCTATGTGGTCATTATATTCATAGTTACATACAATCTTTTCTCATCCTGAATTAAATTGCAATTTGCGTTTTTTAAGATTAACCGACTTAAAGTTCCATGAAAATAGTTAAATGAATTTTAACAATTAAAATTTATATATTTACAAACTACATTAAGATTCTACAAAGTTGCAAAATCTGAATTAAAATATTTTAAATGGTCAAATATACATTGAAGGTAGTACTAGTATATCTTAAATAAGTAAAAATTTATATGCTAAATTAGTAAATAAAATAAAGTTGTGTTGACGTTGTAATCATTTTGAGATGGTTGAAGTATAATATTACCTCTTTTTTTTAATTGTAATAGTCTGACTTTTACGTTTGTCAACGCACAACTTAGATTGTAATTATCTTTAATTAAGCATTAGTAAACGTGATCAAAAGTTGATATTTTGAAAATTCACATTAATAGAAATTTAATACTTCATAAATAATAATTTGATTATACTAGTATATATTATAGAAAATCATGTTGGTCAAAGTAAGGTGTAAAAATGTCAACTACTAACCCGAAATATTAGTATAACAAATACCGTCCCAAAAAGATTGTCCAATTTGACTTTTCTTGGTAAATAGTGTTGAAGTTTAGACAATGATTTTAGGTATTATATTTATGTAGTGTAATTTAAAAAAATTATACTTTTATGAAAGGTTGTTTAATAAAGCATAAGCTAGCTCATATAATTTTCATATTTCAAATAATTTTATATTAAAAGATATCATTGGCCAAAGTTGATCACAGTTAATATCATAGTATTAAAAGGTTTTCATCCACTATTATCTAGTCAACGTGAATTATTCTTACTCTTTTACTTTATATATCCACTTTTTATCAAATTTAATTTTTCTTGATCATGTATTATAAGACTTTTAATGTAATTTCTGAATATGTAAATTTTATTTACTAAAAATAATCTTATTATTAACAAAGATCAATTAAATTTATGATCAGTCAAACCGTACCGCGTGGAAATTTAAGTGGGACGGAGGGAGTACTGTAAAGTTAGCACTCAAACCCCTAACTACACATCCATACATACTTTTTACTACACATGCATACATACTTTTTACTACGTATGTAAATATATATAGACCGATCCTTAACTACGTATGTAGTATATATATAGACCGATCCTTAACTACGTATGTATGTAATATAATTGAATTTATTTTAAACAAACAAATACATTTAACAAAAGTCCTTGAAAAAGAAGATAGGCGATCAACAGAATTAATATGAAGATGAAAGTGACGGTGGAGATACTGATGGGGCGGGTGTTTGACGTGCAGGTGGAGAAGGACGCCACCGTACAAGACTTGAAGAGGGAGATCTGCATTCAAGATGAGCGGCTGCCGGAGAATAGGTTGTTCTTCTTGATGCATCTCGACAGTGACGGTGATGGTGACAGTGACGGTGATGGCGATGGCAACGGTGACAGTGACGGCGATGGCAACGTTGACGGCCATGACGACGACGACGGCGTCGACGACCGCTGTTTGATGTGCGACGACAAGGCTCCTCTCGCAGATTATGGTGTGCAAGATGGGTCCCATGTCTATCTCTTTTTCACCCTCCCTGATCCTCCTCCTCCTGATTTTGATTATTATAAATGGTAATTTGGAGTTAAAAATATGGATTTCATGATATGTACGTAGGGAAAATTAGAGCGATTTCAATTAGTATTTTCTCATGATCACATCTTTAAGTAGTGTAGTATGTGTTAATTGTTGATTTATTTTAGTGGCATGGATGCTCAGGCTCATAAAAACGGATCAATAAACCGAACAAAAACAACGTATGCATGTTTACGAGAAAATTCAAAACATTTTCCTTATGAGCAGGAAAATATACTTTTTGAAATGTAGGTTTAAAGGGCCATTTGCAAATGATGTTTTGTTTGAGAAAGTTTATCAATTGCGATCTGCTGAGATAAATGCCCGAAACCAATTATACGCATTTACTTAAGTTCCAATTTTACATTTCCCGAAACCAAATGGATCAAAACCCGAAGAACTAACAACACACATAATGAATGATAGTCTTCATGTGATTATTATAGAGCGCAAATTATAATGTGGTATCGGCCCACCTTTAGCATGATGTGCCGATCCCAAAACAACATCACTTAATCAATTAAATACAAAAACAACCTCTTGCATAATAAACAGAACGATCGATCTTCTGCCGCAGCAATAAGGAGCAGCACCGATTGGAGCCACCACTTCATTGTTTTTACCGATGATGAAGAAAATTGCCTTAATCTGAGACACACTTTTGGCTAAATTTGATACAATTGATGCCACAATTGCCGGCCTATCTCAATTTGTTACCAATGGTAAGATTTGCTCTTCAAAAGTATATGATTTGATTAGGATCAAAGGCACCAAACAGGTTTGGATGTCTTTCATTTGGAAAGCCTACATACCACCTAAATTCTCATTCATTGCTTGGTTTGCTTTTCGGAACCGCCTTGCAACGTGTGATAATTTAGGTAGGCTTGATGTGATTAACATATGTCCTTTTTGTAAGGGTGAACCGGAAACGGTAGCACACCTATTCTTTGGCTGTCAATTTTCAGGAGCTATTTGGACTAATAAAGTGGGCACATGGATGGGATTGCATAGACAGATGACTACCTTGGATAGCTCGGTGAAATGGATCAAGAGAGATCATAGAGGGTCGGGAATCAAAGCTAAAGCAGTCCGGATTGCATTCATCTACACAGTTTATTGGATGTGGAGGGTCAGAAACGCAACCATATTTGACGGCACCACATTCAAAGTGGAGGATGTTTTTGCTAGGATCCAATACATGATGTATAAGATCCTTTATAATATATACCCGTTTGAGCTAATCACCTTTTGATACTTTTTTTTGTTAGATATGGCACATCACCTTTTCTTTGTGTTCGGCCATGTGTGCTTATTGTTTAGTCTTTTTTTAGGTGATGGGTTATCCTTACTTGGGATAGCCCTTTTTGTTCCCTATTTTTTATGTACATAAACTCTTTTGGACGATATATATACTTAACCCTTTATCCAAAAAAAAAATACAGAAGCTCTTCAATCCGCCGCAACAGTAGGGAGCGTAACCCTTGATGTTGATCGCTGGAATTATACATCATAAACTTCTAACTTTCTAAGCATAACCCTTGGTGTTGATCAATGGAATCGTGGAATTACGCATAACCCTTGAAAGCAAATTCCTTTGCTTTCATTTAACATCTGAGCTGTGTTTTAATCAGATTCAATTAATATAAATCTTTTCATTTTGATGTTGATCGATGGAATTAATTGGTATATATATGTATATATATGTTTGTGCATGTGTTTAATACATGAAGTTACATCTTTTTATACTCCATTTACATGTTCATAAGTACGAGTTACATCTTTTTATGGACAAGTTACGTTAGTGTTTGTCTCAACAAGTTACATTTTGCATACATCTAAGTTACATTTCCCATCAACACAAATTACATTTGTCATTACATGAGTTACATCAAAAAAGTGAACCCCTGCTATTAAAAGAAAAAGAATTTTTAAAAATCCTTTTGATGGTCATGATATTAAAAACAAAACATATTCACGATTTACGCAAAATAATTGTGCAGTTAGACGTTTATTATTGTTTACATTGAAATCAATGTTTTATTCATTATGCTACGTATTATGTAATTGACAAATTACATTTTGACTGGGCTTGAGTTACATGGAACAATAACGTGAGTTACATTATTTTACACGTGAGTTACATCATTCATGCTACTGGGACAAAAAGAAAAAAAACATAGTTATTGTACTCGCGTTACTGTTTACCCGTGCACGGGATATAGAACGATTTTTTAGTTAAACTATATATGTGTGTGTTCGCGCGCACTGATATATGTATGAGTAATCATGACTAACGAAAAGTCACGTATTTAGTCAATTATAACATTGGTTGATAATCCATATTCTTATTTATTGAGAATGTCTTATTTGCTAACTAAAAATCTAAACATGTTCTCGGTCAATATTTTCCGATCAAAAGAGCCAATTTTTTATAACTCTTGATTGCATCCAACTGAATTTCGTCTTTTCAAGCATCTTTATCTAAATAAAAAAGAAATTGCTCAATGCCTATTTTTATCCATTAGATTTCATCCGTAGTGTGTTGTGTTTTCAAAATTAATAACTACACATTTTTGTAATTTATTAATTTAGTAATGGGTATGGTCATTTTTTCAAGATATTATATTAGCCTTTCTATGATTTAGGATTGAGAAAATTAATCCTTCTATCTCCTTTGAGAAAAGAGTTTAGAATATGCTGTGTATATTTTTTGACATTCTGATTTAATGAAGGTGATGACGGTGACAACAGATCGGTTGCATAACATGGTACGTTGTAGCAATCGATCTATTCATTAGATTAATACAAAATGAGTGTTGTTATTGAACGAAGAGGTTGCATGCTTTAGTAGACAATTTTTCTCTAAAAGGTCACCTGAATTAAATCTATAAAAAGATTATCATGTCAAGTGGAAGGTAATAATCGTAACATAAACAACTGGTCAAACTATGAAACAACAAATTAAAAATAAAGATGTTTGTTTAGAAACGAAAAATGATATCAATAATACTATATCAAGTTACATCCATGAGTAAAAGAATTGTCATATATACACAATCTAGCTTATTTATCCAGCTCTTAAGCGCCACTTTTAATTAGTATCACGATATGACTTTCATAAATGAAATTAATAAATCTTTCAGATATTTGAAGCTCTCGACAAAAATATATCAAGATTTATTTTAGTATTTAATTAGTATGTACACTAAAGTAAAAAATATGTTGTAACTTTTACTATCATAGATTAGATCAAAAAATTGATCCCAATCGAAAATATCCTCAATTAGAAAGGTGATAACATATTTGAGATGACATTAAGGGCTCATTTGGTTCAAGGAATATCAAACTACTATGAGAATGTTACATTGCTGAGTATGTTAGATTGCTGACTATTATTTTTCAAAATGACACCAATATTTAATATAAAAAAATAAAAATGATAATTGAACGCTTTAAAAACATCAAAATTTTAAAGTGATATAACTTTTTTGTTCGTACTCCGATTGTTACAAAACAATATATCAAAATTCATAGCTTTTTATTATCTTTCGTATGACACCAATATTGAATATTTGAAGATAAACATAATTTGACACTTTAAAAAACATCTGTTTTTAAGGTGATATAACATTCTTATATGTGTTCCAATTGTTACAAAACATATTTAAAAATTTCACAACTTTTTATTATCATTCATATGACACTAATATTGAATATATAGATATAAAATAACAATTTAAAACTTTATGAAACGTTTCTTTATAAAGTGTTACTACATATAACTTTTTTATTTGTACTATGATTGTTACAAAAAATATATCAAAAATCATAACGTTATATTATCTATCACATGACACCAATGTTGCATATATATACAAATCAATTTTATTAATTTGTGTAGTTTGGGAGTGTTATTTACCGTGCACACTATTAATCCGAAGTGACAACTTAGAATAAATTAAAACTGCAAAAATTCTAGCGCAAAGAATATTACAATAAATAAAGTGATGGAGTCTATGCAATGTATTCTAAGCTATCACTCTGGATTAAGGGGAAAATAATAAATACCTCAAACTTTGAAGGGTGTGAGATAAATATGCTCAACTTGCATATGCAATATATATATAACCCAAATTTTAAATAAAAAATTATTTTTTCACCATGATTACATGGTTTTTACAAATATGAATTATTGCAATAAGTACATAATCTAAGGTACTCCCAGCTTTGTTTGGATGCAGTTAACAATCTAAAAATTCATTTCTAAAATAAATAAAATTACACTCGGCTTTAATTGTGTCCTCATAAGTGTTTTGTGTATTTTAAATAATGTACTTAACACCATAAATTTACATTTGTGAAAACATTATATGATCCAACATAATGTTTTATATATAGATGAAGGTGTATATATAACATGTGCAAATTTGAGGTACTTACCTCACACCCCTTCAAAGTTTGAGATATTTCAGTTATTTCCCTGGATTAATAGTGTACGGTAAAAACGATCTTAGACTGCACAAATTAATAAAACTAATTTTCTATTTTTGTATATGCAACATTGATGACATATGAAATATAATATAAAGTTATGAACTTTTATACTACGTACTCTGTATATGTTTTATAACAATCGGAGTACAAATAAGAAATTATAACACTTTCAAAAACAGGTGTGTTTTAGAGTGCTAAAATATTTTTTATCTTTATATATTCAATTTTGGAGTCATATGAAAGGTAATAAAAAGTGATGCTTTTTTTTATATTTTTTTGTAACAATTGGAGTACAAATAAAAAATTTATATCAATTTAAAAATAAAGATTTTTTAAATATGAATTATTTTTATGAGTAGTACTTGTTTTTATTTTAGTTTCAGTAGGTCTGGTTTCATAATTTGGAATTCTGGCATACGTTTGATAGTCAGTATTTCAGTCCCGATTGTTTTAGACTTTAAATTGCCCATTTTGTGTCTAGCAAACCAGGTTGCTTTGTATGAAGTGTCTGATTCTATGTCTATTCTCAGGGCTCACAATCGGATCCGTCATAACTGTATAAATGTTATTTTGTATCTTTTCTCGATTTTAATATAAAAATCGATCATTTATATTAAAAAAAGGGTAAATTATTTTTTTATTTATGTATTTTCAATATTGGTGTCATTTGAAAGATAATAAAAAGTTATGAATTTTGATATAATTTTTGTAACAATCGAATTACAAATAAAAAAGTTGAGTTTTTTCCCATAATAATGCCAATTTAAAAAATAATTACCAAAATAGTGTGAGATCAAAACTATTTCCCAAAATGATGCTAGAATTAACTATGGTTAAATAACGGCCTACTACATTCGCGGCTTAAGACAGAATTGAAAAGCTACGAGCATGCAGCAGCGTAGAGCTCGAGAGGAAAAGGAAAAAACAGTATTGGGTCCCACAAATAAAAAATCATTTGTTATTGAGAAAAGGGGCAAATAAGGCCACGTACTAACCAAAAAAGGTCAAATAAGGCCTTATTTAAGAGGTTCTGTCTGGCCGTCGCAATTTGGGGTGGTTTCCGGTGGAATTTTTTGATGAAATTTTTTGAGCATCTTATTCAGTAAGTCTAGTTTACTCATACCAAATTTCAGCTAAAACTTTAATTGGGAAGGCATTCAAATGAATTCTTGAAGATAACCTGTAGTTTAAAGCGCACTTATCTTCAACACTACAAGAATTTCGGAAATTAGTGGCGGAATTCTGTGGCGGAAATCATTCCGCCACTATTTGGTGTCGGATATTAAAGGAGGATTACGATCTGCCGGTGTTTTGTGGCGGATATATCCGCCAGTAATCTTCGCCAACAAATAATGACGGAAATAATTCTGTCACTAAAATCCGTCATTAAACTGCAAAATACGGAGTAAAAAATCAATCTTCCACGGATCTCACTTTATCCATTCACTTCAATAGCTCGATCTAAAACAAGGACTTAAGTTTAAAAATGACATTTTTAAAAGAATGTTTTTACATATATTTTATTAACTTATTATACGTGCATAAATTTTTAGATAATAGAAAATATTTTGCTCTTTATTTGTTTGGTTTCCAAAATCTCTTCAAGAATCAATTTTAAAATCCAATTGTAAGCTAAGTGTATTACTTAAATGAGGATAACTTGTAGAAAATAAATAGAAAATTTCTTACTAGGATGTTTTGTTGTCTTAGTGGGATGTGTTTCAATCTCAGGCTCGATTAGACTACTCTAAACATAAAAAGATCAGACATATCATACAAAGTTAAATAGATTAGACTAGACTTCAACATATATAAAATACATATAAGTTATACATCTATCAAACGAGACCAAACCAGTTCAGACAGACCAAACAAGACAAAAAGAATTAATCTAATTAAGAGCATGATTAAAGTTATATGTATTGTAGATGAAATTCGTAAAAAAAAAACATGTGCGGCTTTTGCAACTACTACGTATTAGATAGCGGACAAGCTTTATGTTATGGCACATTTATGCTCATGTAATACAAAAGTCTAACCTTAAGATAATATTTATTCCCTTCGTCCCGAAAGAACTTCTCATTTCGGTTTACGATGTGATGGTACTATGGACTATAACCATAACCATAACCCAATGTCGGATTAATAAACAGAGTCCATTACTCGAGATTAATGAATAAATCCGGCTTAACAGGGGGACCGTTGCCCGCGTAGGAATGCACACATCCAAAAATGACTTGTTTTGCAGGTCTCAAGCCTAGGCAGGATTCCAGTGAGGTCGGGCTCACCCTAGGTGTTACGTGGCAAGTCATTACGAACGCAAGGCTATTTGGCCGCAACAAGGATTAAACTGAAGAGACATGGACATAAAGGCGCATTAATGACAGGAGTTATGAGAGACATAAATGTACCAGTTATGTCTCCTAGATGAAGCGGTCCAGCCCAGCTGGTCGCCGACTCACTCTCGGGGTGTGGACGAGTCTAAAAGGCAACATGATGACCTGATAAGATCAGTGGTGGACGGTGGCCAACCCCACCCATGATGTGAGGATTCGAGAACCATTTGTGCGATGAGTTATGGACCCCCTTTGCCGCATGAGTATAAGCCTTGCAACATCGAGGTCTATCGTGGAAGACCGATCCCCAACACCATATGTACAGGTACACGACTTACATGCTATGATGGGGTATGAAGATGTAATCAGATGTTGAGGATTTTCCGTCACACTAGATGGACCAGCCGAGGAGTGGTACAATTCATTACCCAACGGGAGGTACAGAGCTTCCGGGAGGTTGCCCAACTCAAAGTTCTATCTTTCAATCAAACTCCAAGTCAAAGGTCTACCCTTCGGAGTTCACTGTCAGTCGTCGGAATCTGCCGCCCATGTTTGGAAAAAGTAATCTCAACTTGTTAACTGATTTTAAAAAACAAGCTGAATAATGGGAATTTAACACCAATAAGTACCGGTGGCGGTTTTCTTGTGAAGTACTCCCTCCGTCCCAGGGAGAAGTTCCCAATTTCCTTATTTGGATGTCCCAAAAGAAACTTCCCATTTCCCTAAATGGAAAGTTATCCTACATTAAAACAGTGCTAAACAGTGCCAAACAGTGTCGAAACAGTGCCAAACAGTGTCGAAACAGTGCAAAACAGTAAAGTTTACCCCTTAGTAACTTTATTTTCTTTGTGTACAGAGAAAACACACTTGTCGTATAAGCCGGCGTGTACAAGAAGTATTTTTCTTATTTTTATAATATGTGTGGATATAGGGATGTTATCAATTTTTGGCAGAAATAAACATTTTTTTATCATCAAGAAAAATTAAACATTAACAAATGTAGATTAAAAGAAACAATAAAATATATTTTTAAAAGCGAATCTATCAATCTAGCAATACATAAAAGACGAAGCAGTATCAAAATAATTTGGAAAATGATGTTTGTACCCACTTTTATACCCACTTTTGTACCCACCCATGTTTATGAAGTTATTTTTTTTTGTCTGTGAAGGAATTCAAAGACATATTTTGTCTGTGAACCGGTTTCGCATACAAAAAATAGTCTTCACAAAGGTGGGTACAAAGTGATGAGTACAACAACCATGATTGAAATAATTTTGGCACCATAAAAAATTTCGAATCGTCCCCCTGCCTAAAAAATTTCAACAAATTTCGATTCCCTCCCTTTTTTCCCAAAATTTCAAACTCCCTCCACTTTGGTTTAAAAAACCCAATGAATGATTTGTATCTCAACACCGTACCCTTACACCCTTACTCTATCTTTTCACTATGCGCACCGCGGCTCCCCCCTCTCTAACCCTAGCAAGTACTCTGTTGCAATACCATTTCAGCACCGCCGGTCGAGTAGCAGGCAGGAGTCCATCATCCACCAAATGCATTCAATCGGCCTCAAATCACTCAATTATCCTTCACCGTCTTTCTCAATCGCATCAAAGCCTAAGGTATTTCTACTTACCTTTTTTCTATTTTCTCACAATATCATTCCGTCATTATATTAAATTATTAATATAGTAATGTATTGCTTTGTTAATCAGTTAACATGAATACTGTAAAAATCAATTCTAATCAGTCGATTTTCTTTGGGACTGCTTACTTGCTTAGTAGTGTAGCAGGCTGCTATACGGAAGAACACATCTTACAATAAAGAAGTTATGGTATGCAATTATTTCTTTGGTAATTTTGACTTTAATTCATTTTCAGTTGCGAAAAATTGAAACTGTCTATTTGCAATTATTTCTTTGCTAACCCTGTCTTCAATTTGTTTTTCTCTCTAACATGAAGTGTAAATTTAGAAGTGACATACACAAGAAGTCTTAGCAGTGGCCATGGCTCTTCTGAAAGTCTTCAAAGCTCAAGGTAATATACTGCTGAATGTATGTTTTCTATTACAAAAACTCTTTCATCTGTTTGTAGTTCTAAGTGCAGTGAAAGTGTTTTCTTTTCTCTTTTTATATATTTTAACAAATAAAAATATAAACTGGACTTCAAGAACATTTGTGTGGTGAGATAGTTTGTTTCATTCTTGATGCCCTGAGTCCTATTTTTTAATTCATTACAGATTTATTGTGTTCCAGAAATGAATTCAATTTGGCTGGTATGTAATCTATTGTTGTTTTAAATTCATACGTAGTTTTGAAATGAAACAATTAGAATGTGTAAGGTATAATACTCTTAAAGGACTTGGATGTTGGGGCTGCCTGACTTGAGAAAACACTCTACACTTTTAAAACTAAGAATCACAAGTTATGGTACATAATATTTTTCAACATTTGCCTCTGTTTTGGTTGCAAAAATTGGAATTAGTAACCGAAAACATTGTAGTGTTCTAAATTTCAGCTGTGGTGTAATGGTTCTTATATGCACGAGTTCTTAAGCCTATTGGTTTCAGTTAAATTTCTATACGCTTTTGTTTGTTTGTTTTTTACCATTTAATGATTTTGATCAATAAGCCTTACAATCCAACACTAGTTCTTATCACTTATGTCAATGCATCAGGAACTCTCGCAATAGGGGCATATTAAACTTTGGCACTCATTATTGTCCTGATTTTTGTGCTCTTTGTTGAATTCCAGATTTCACTTACATGTAAGTTTCTTTCCCCTTGATTAATTTTTGGTTAAATCATGAAATAGGCTGAATATTATGAGATGTTTTCAAGGTAAAAATAAAAAACTTCTTGCACTATGGGTTTGTGAATTTTCCTGGATGACATTTCTTTTATTTTGTGACACTCTGTTTCACTTTGTTTTTTTCTACTTCATACTAGGTATACACACATTATAATATAGGAAGACAATGCATTCCTATATACACACATGTTCCTGACTATGAGTATAATACTCTAGATGTATAATGACATGTATCATTTTTTTTATTTGCAGAAGGCTATTAAGAGGTTAACCAATGCCTTCTATGCCTTCTGTATACACACATTATAATATAGGAAGACAATGCGTTCCTATATACACACATGTTCCTGACTATGAATGTAGTATTCTAGATGTATAATGACATGTACCACTTTTTTTTTATTTGCAGGAGGCTATTAAGAGTTAACCAATGCCTTCTATGTAGCTGAAAGTGTTATATCTAACAAAACAAAAGCTGCAATGTCCAAGCTTCTTCTTGCAATCCGATACTTGCATTCAAGCCTCGTTGATAACTAAGAGATTACACTTGCACGAACAATTCTTATCCCATCAGACATATAGTTTTAGCTTTCAAATATTTTGTACACATTTTCAACAATACTGATGTGGTGTATGATTTTTTTTGGAATATTCTTATGATACACTACATTTTAATGTGGGTTATTATTATATATGTAGTACTTCTTATTTGTTTGCTATTATGATATTATCTGATATCTGATTGTAAAATTAAAAGTTCAAATTTAAAACATGTATGCTCTGATTTTGAGATTATTTTGGACATATTTCTTCATATTTAACGAAACAATATCTAGTATTAAAAATAATAATGATATTTAAAAAAAGAATTTATAAATATATGTGAAATTCATTTTTGTAAATATAAAAGAATTAGTGACAGAATTTAGTGACTGAAATTCCGTCACAATACACAGTGGCGGAAAAATCCGCCACTAAATACCGTCTTTATTCTGTGACGGAAATTATATTCTGCCACTAAACACAATAGCTTCCAGGTTTTAGTGACAGACGATCTGCCATAAATATCCGTCAGTAAACCTTTTCGTGGCGGATTTAGTGACGGAATTTCCGCCAGTAAATTCCGTGAATTCTTGTAGTGCAAGAATTCATTTGAATGCCTTCCCGATTGAGAACCACCCCAAATGGCGAACGCCGGACAGAGCCTCATAAATAAGGCCTTATTTGACCTTTTTTGGTTAGTACGTGGCCTTATTTGCCCCTTTTCCCTTTGTTATTTTTGAAGTGTTACAATTTTTTTATTTGTGCTCCGATTGTTACATTAAATATATCAGAATTTATAATTTTTTATTATCTTTCATATGACACTAATATTGGATATGTAAGAATATTTTTTAAAAAAAGGCTCTTTAAAAAACAATTTATGTTTTTTAAAATGTTATACACAGTAACTTTTTTAATTGTAATATGATTGTTACGAATAATATAAAAAAAATTATATATTTTTTTAATCTTTTATATGACATCAATATTTCTTATATAAAAATAAAATAAAAAGTAATTTAACACATTATAAAAACTTTCGGTTTTAAAGTGTTATAACTTATTTATCTATACTCTGATTTTTACAAAAACTATACCCAAATTGATAATGTTTTATTATCTTTCATATGACACCAACATTACATATAAAAAATAAAATCTATTAAAATCTATTAATATGTTTAAGAATATATCAAGGCAGACTCAAACAAATCAGACTGAACAGACCAAACATGTAACATAAACTTACCAGACTTAGACAAATGTTTGGTCTGTTAGTTCTGATCTATTTAAATCTAGTCTAGTAGATTTTTAAACAAACCAAACATTGACTTTATAGGAGAAAAGATGCTTACCATCATTTTCAAGCTATCACTTTTGTTTATTGTTTTTATTCTTTGAGCTAGAATTTGTGCAGATTTATTCTAAGTTATCCTTCTAACTAATAATGTGCATGATAAATTTTTAGTCTAGACCGCACAAATTAATAGCTTTTTGTTTTGTTTTTATATATGCAGTATTAGTATCATATGAACGATAATAAGAAATTATAAATTTGCATATAGTTCTTGTGGCAAAGTAAAAATAAAAATGTTACTCCATCCATTCTCTAATAGATGGGAGTACAGGCTTTGACACAAGATTTAAGATGAAATTAATAGGGGTAGGATAAAAGGTGTAGTGAGTTGTGTGTAAATGAAAAAGTAGGAAAGAGAATGAAAAAGTAAGAAAGAGAATGAGGGTAAATGAGTATATTTATTGAAAAAACTTACCAAAAGCCGAAATGGAGACAACTAATAGAGAACATCCCAAAATGGAAAGAGGACCAAGTATTAGAGAACGGAGGGAGTATAAAACTTTAAAAAAAATTGCTAAATTATGTTTTCTATTTTTATACTATGGGTATATACAAAGTACATTTTTTGTAACAGTCGGAGTACAAATAAAAAAGTTACACCACTTGTAAAAAAATATATTATTTATTTTTTGAAGTATAATTGTTTTTAATTTTATATATTCAATATTGGTGTCATATGAAAGATAATAAAAAATTATAAATTTTGATATAGTTTTTGTAACAATCGAAACACAAATAAAAAAGTTATAGCACTTTGAAAATAATGAAAGATTTTTCATTTGTGGGGCCCAAGACTTTTTTTCCCTGTTGTGCGCTGCTTGTTGCTACGTTGGTAGTTTTTTAATTTCGCCAAAGTGCCCAACTACATTAGCAGTTAAGTAGAGTTAATTCAACATTACTTTGGGAAATATTGTTAACTACACACTAATTTGGTAATTACTTTTCCATTTAACATTATTGCAAGAAAAAACTCAAAAAAGTTATAACATTTTAAAACAAACATGATATTTTATTTTGGTGGGATCCTAAATAATCGGAGTAGGAGTTTGAGTAGTATTCAACTATAAAAATACCGAGTATTAGTGATTTAGTGGATTACTTGTGCATAGATTCCTTTAATTTGGAAAGTGATGTTTATATAAACAATAATAATTGTGAAGTTGACATGTGGTAATGGTTTCCTTAATTGTAAGCTTGATATGTACTACCGCCGTCCCATTTTATGTGTCTTAGTTTGACTTGACACGATTATTAATGAAGTGGTTGGAAATGTAAAAGTTGTGATTAAGGTTTGACTATAATAAAGTGAGACACTTGTTTTGGGACAACCCAAAAAGAAAAGTAAGACATGTAAAATGAGACAATACAGTTGAAGTATTATTTATAGATATCACTAAAAACTTATTTACAGAAATGTGACTAATAGTTATACTACACCATAATTTATTTTCACTTAAATATAACAAATGAACATAAGTTATTAGTATGACTAAGTTACTAATCTTGTAATCTAGTCACTAATCACATTCTTTTTGGAAGAATAACTAATCACATTTTTGTTTATTACATTTATTTTAGTCATATGTATCTGTAATTATTTCATTGATTTTTAATTTAAAGGGATAAATTAAATATACATTCATAATTTCATATAGCCATATAGCCATATAGGCATGCATGCTCTATGTTTCTGGTTGAACCGGAGCATTGCCAATTTCATTAAGAGTACTTAATAATAATGTCATCTTTAATAAAAGTTATATTGCCATTTCGATGAATGACTTTAGTGCATGCCATAAAAATGGCATTATGTGTAAAGAAACTTTATAAAAAAAATGGCACTTGCTACCTTGTTGGTAAAATGACATTATTTCTTAATCAAGATTAAACTCAGTGTCATTACCTGGGGAAAAGTAAAATTACTAGATAAACAACTTTCATATTCAAAATTAGTGCCACAAAATGACGACACTATAGCTAGAGCAGAACTGCCTTTTTGGTAAGTATTATATTATTTCTAATTCGAGGTTGAAATTAGTGCTATATTTACTAGGAAACATAAATGCAATACTTGTGTAACTTTCAAATTCAAAATTAATGAAAATCATGGCATTACCTCGAATTATGATTAAAATCGGAAACAAAAATAATCAGCAAATTAAATAAACATTATAAACTTGATGGATATGAATGAAAATTAATTTCAAAATCAAAATGAAGGAAATAGACATAAATTCATCAAAAACTTGAATAATAACGAAGGAAAAAGAGGTCAGGAAAAGGATACTTAAACTCACATAGGACAATCCCGTCACCCGTCATCCGCCGCCAATCGTTCGTCGATGGGCAGAGATGGGAGTAATTAAGATTGACATGAAAATGAAATAAGGTAACTATAGAGTATAGAATGGAGAAGGAGAAGATGGGAGTCTCATGGAGAGATCGAAGAGAATTGAGATTTGCGAGAGAAGAGAAGAAAGAGGAGAGAGGAGAGGGGGAGAAAAGAAGTGGAGGAGTTCTATTCCGTGGTCGCAAAAAATAGGAGAAGGGTAGAAGGAGAATTGAAAACCATATTTTTTCGAGAATAAAATACATAGCAATTTTGTTGTATACGAAATACAGACATACACGTTTTTACACTGTCTGTGAAGACTATTTATTTGTCTGTGAAAACACTGTGCACAGACAGTGTAAAAACGTGTATGTCTAAATTTCATGTACAGAAGGGTTTTTCCTAAAATACATATGCTCCTATTTTGGAATTATACCCATGTTTTACTCCTATTCAAGAAAATTAAAAGGTAATGCCTTTTATATTTTACCTTTATTTATTAATTTTTTAATATTTTAAGATAACATCAATGAACAAAAACACTAAATAAGATAACTCACTCTCTCTTACGGGAGGTCCCGAGTTCAATTCTCAATAGACTGAGATTGATCTCAGTTTACCTCAACCCCACCGGTGGGCGTAGCTCAACTGGTAGCGAGGGAGTGCCACAAGGGTTAAGTCTCGGGTTCGAATCCCGGCAACTGCGATGAGGGGTTACTATGCTGAAAAATGCATAGGACTTCTGCAAGTACCGAGGACAGAGCCCCACTCTCTATCTGTCAGATTGTGATTATAGTCCAATTTACATCCTCCCATCGTGCCGTCCGGTCGGTGTTGGGGGGCCCTCAGGGATGGGGTGTCATCCTTAATTTTTACTAAATAAAGGCAAAAAAATTGTAACCATCGAAAAGGCTCAAAACCGAATCTAACGTACGGTCAATGAAACCACATTAGAATTACTACTATTCTGTTCTTGTTCTGTTGAGAGATTTTTTTAAACTAGTAATCGGTGATTTGTGACTTTTGAACTACGAACCGACATGGGGCAAATACGTCCTCTATGCCTACACTAGTCAATGCTAAAAGAAATTAAACATGCCAAAATACTCCCACGAGTGAGATCACAAACGAATTGGAACTCGAAACCAAAAATATCTAATGAGAAATTCAGAGGCAAAGAAGCATTCTTCTCTAGAGATGATAAAATTGTAGAGAATGATACTATAAAAACACTAACCAGTTATGGAGAAACCAAATTTTATTAGTGTTATAGATTATAATTAAGCTTTAGATATGTGTAGATTCTCTAAAGATACCAAATCTTTTCATATTGGATGGATTGATTGATCTCTTAGGTCTCTTAATATTGATGTGTTTGAAAAGGTGCAGTTCTAAGACCGTGTAAGACCGTGTTTTTTTAGAGCCATTAGAAGAAATGATATCTCTTTC